TTTTTGTCAATACAAGTCTTTCGTTAAATAGCTGTCATTTTGAGAAAAATCAATATTTTGAAAAATCCCTACGTACCTCTCTAGTCTTTAATATATAGATAATGAAAATTCTTTATATTTTGTTCAAAGTCAAACCGTGTGCCTGGAATCCTGTACACCGATAAAAAAAAAGGGATTCCGCAAGTGTAGGCCAGTGTGCCGCCATTTTGGACATAAGAAAAATATCAAAATATTTATTTGGTTTCTTATATATGTACAATAATGTTTTCTAAGCAGATTCTAAATAAAGTTATCCATTTATCCACAAAAAATTCCAAACTTAAGATATCCTTTTAAAACCTCAGGGCGGACTCTTTAATACTAATATTCATTATACGTTTATACTGTGCGCACTAATAAAAAATAAAAATCCCTAAAACTAGATAGAAAACTACCTTGCAAATAATCAATGACATTTTCTCAATTTCTATAATCTTTTTATATTTCTTTTAAATGTTCCAGATGTTTATTATGCTCCTTTATCGGGAAAGGAAATCTATAAGATAAAAATGAAGACACTACTAGAATGTCCAAATAAGAAAAAGGCTAATAAACAAAGTAAACTTGCGATTAAACTACCAAGCCAAACAGCACAGATCGCATCAGCGGGAAATTCAATATTTTATGGAGATACTCGGGCAATGTCTATTCTAGGCACGAACGTTAAGAAATCCGGTAACAACACGGTAAGATATCTTATTACAATTATTATTTACATATTAATAAATAATAAATTATATATTTCAAATGTTATAACGATTGTTACAATACATGTATAATAGTTGTTAGTATGATTTTATCGCGCTTTTGTAAAATTATATATTAATTTTAAGGTGATGCTCGCACAAGACTCCGAAAAATTGCAAGCTGTTGCTTCAATGAAAGTCTCAAATTATTGGAATCGGTTAATGGCCATATCAGATAGATTTCAGCTTTTTGCTGTTAGTAAAGTAAATATAAATGAAATAAACTTCCGTTATTTTGAAATGAATTTAAATGAAATACAGAAGTTGATGAATTCGATTTATTCAAGCACTACTTGATTTTCGTGTATTGAACATATCTTAACACAAATGCTTTTACATAATTTTATTATAAATATTATATAATTAATATTATATAAATTAATAGGTATGTCATATAATATAATATTATATAATTTTATTATTAATGTTATACACGTAATTTAAATGTAAAATTTATAAATAAGATATATATGTAAGATTTAAATTAAAACATTATATATGATATACATATATGTAAAAATTATATGCATACATAATTCTATATTGCAAAAAATTAATTTGCAATATAATAAATTTAACTTTAAGAAAATTTAAAAATTCGTGTATTATACGTACACATAACAATAATTTATAATTGTTACACATATAGTCATTAATAAACTATTTTGAGTATTTTAATTAATATTGAAATATTTAGAATAAAAAATATTTTCTTGTAAATTTTGATAAGCTTACTTTCCTGAGCTGCTTTAAATCTAAAAAAGATTATAAAAATTATTGCATTATATATGTCGCAGGCAAATGATTATTTTGGGCCAGTAGCTTTTGGCTAAACAAACTCTATTTGCCTGGCCAAATGATTTTCACTGATTTATTTGTTTTTAAACGTTATTTTCCTAGGCAAATGTTATTTAACTAATCAGTTGTTAGAACAAATGGAATATTATAAAGTACGCCTTTGCGCATACACTTTACAACACGAAGCTATAAGGTTTCATTCACATGGATTTGTAACTTTTTACGCGAAGCGAGGTCCACCGTATACTACGAGATGATTTTTGTTTCCAGAAATAAAAAATACACAAATGAATTATCAAAATAGTATATTACAAAACATACTAAAAACCGATATAATGTAGTAGATAACA